TCGAGCCCCGCGTCAGGCTTCGTGCTGACTGCCCGCTCAGCGCCTGGAGCCTGCTTCAGTCTGTGACTCCCTCTCTCTCTGACCCTCCCCTGCTCATGCTGTCTCTCTCTCTCTCTCTCCTAGAAATAAATAAAACATTAAAAAAAAATAAAAAAAAAAGATTTATTATCTTTGAGAACACCTCTAGACTTGAACTCTTCCCCCAGTGTGTTTCAGTCACTTCCTTTGGAAAGAGTTTTGGAACTCTCTTTTCTTATGAACTACCTCCTACCACAGGCAGAGTCTTACTGCCACTACTTTTGGTGACAGTGAGGTTGCAGTCACTGGTCTTCTTGGCTTGCGTTCTGGGCAATCTCTTGGAGATTCACTTCCCTACAAGCAAGCTGTGGTGAGAGTGATCAGGGATCCAGTTTTCTTGGCCTGTCTTGCTTGTCGTGGAGACTCCGTCCTGTGGACATAGGTTGATTGGAAAAGGAGAGGTCTAATCTCTTGGTCACACTCATCAGGAATTTGGCCTCTTCAACCTAAAGTTGGGGGCCAGGGATAAGAAATTCTGGTGGCCTGGCTCTCTGTAGGTACTATAACACTGGCTGATGATGGAGAATACTAGTAACCCTACACACTTGGCCACACCCGCCTGTAGTGGAGCTTCCATCAAGCCAGGCTGTGACGGAGATAGGGAAGGAGCAGGCCATGGCTACAATGCCATAGACTCTCGATGCTCTCCCCGAGTTGCAGTAGGTTTGCTTGAATAAATGTTTGTCTTTAGGACAATATCCAGAGAATGTGCAGAGTTGTCTTTTTATAGTTTTGACCATTTTTGCTCATCTAGGTAGGAGGCAGGTCCAAGGAGCTCCTCACAACTCCATCCTAAAAGGGACTTTTTGTAAACTTGTGATTTTGCTTTATTTGTTACCATTTGAAACTTTTGTCCATTTTTTTTTCACATTGAAGGCCTTTAAATGGCAGATCCATTCTTTTAAATACCAACAAATACAACTCAAACTCAATATTTAAAAAATATGTCCAAACATCTCCAAAGGCAAGGGAATCAAGAGCAAAAATGAACTATTTGGACCTCATCAAGATTAAAAACTTCTGCACTGCAAGGAAACAATCAACAAAACTAATAGGAACAGATGGAATGGGAAAAGATAGTTGCAAATGACATATCAGATAAAGGGCTAGTATCCAAAATCTATATGGAACTCGTCAAATTCCACACCCAAAACACAAATAATCCAGTGAAGAAATGGGCAGAAGACATGAACAGACACTTCTCCAAAGAGGACATCCAGATGGCCAACAGACACATGAAACGATGCTCAACATCACTCATCACCAGGGAAATACAAATCAAAACCACACTGAGATACCACCTCACGCCAGTCAGGGTGGCTCAAATGAACAAATCAGGAGACTCTAGATGCTGGAGAGGATGTGGAGACACGGGCACCCACCTACACTGTTGGTGGGAATGTACACTGTTAAAATTAACAGTAGAACTCCCCTATGACCCAGCAACAGCACTGCGAGGAATTTGCCCAAGGGATAACATGTACCCCAATGTTCATAGCAGCACTTTCAGCAATAGCCAAATCATAGAAAGAGCCTAAGTGTGCATCAACTGATGAATGGATAAAGAAGATATGGTTTATATATACAATGGAATACTACATGGCAATGAGAAAGAATGAAATCTGGCCATTTGTAGCAACATGGATGGAACTGGAGGGTATTATGCTAAGTGAAATAAGTCAGGCAGAGAAAGACAGATACCATATGTTTTCACTCATATGTGGAATAGGAGAAACTTAGTGGAGGACCATAGTGGAGGGGAAGGGGAAAAATAGTTAAGGAGAGGGAGGGAGGCAAACCATGAGAGACTCTTGAATGCTGAGAACAAACTGATGGGCGTGGGGGAGAGGGAAAAGTGGGTGATGGGCATGGAGGAGGGCACGTGTTGGGATGAGCAGTTATATGGAAACCAACTTGACAATAAACTACTAAAATAAATAAATGTTAAAAAATTAAAATTAAAAAAATAAAAAAATAAAAAATATGTCCAAGATAAAGGATATATTGCTAGTAATACCCAGTGAAAATTAAATCTGGTTAAAGAAAATCAATTATATTTCACACCTTAATTTGTGGTTGTGAACCCATTACACAGCAATAGCACACTTCATAAATATATCTCTTACATTTAGATGTACTGGGCCCAGGTTACTCTGATGAACTTCATACATAATGTTATTTGGAAAATCGTATATCAGGAAAAGGAGACTTCATCTAATAATAAAGTGTACTAAACTTGTGTTATGGTCCAAATTGAAGCATGAAGTTTGGGAAGTGAAATAAGAAAATAGACATAAATTTCAAACATACTAATATTCATTAGAATGATTGTGCTTTCTGAGAAGGACAAATACCATATGTTTGCACGTATAGGAGGATTAGGAGGAACTTGACGGAGGACCAAGGGGGAGAAGAAGGGCGGAAATGGTGGGGGAAAGGGAGAGAGGCAAACCATGAGAGACTCTTGAATGCTGACAAAAACTGAGGACTGATGGATGTGGGGGGGAGGGGGGGATGGGCATGAAGGAGGGCACTTTGGGGATGAGCACTGAGTGTTATGTAGAAACTAATTTGACAATAAACTATTTGTAAAAAAAAAAAAAAAAAAAAAAAAAAAAAAAAAAAAAAAAAAAAAAAAAAAAAAAAAAAAGAATGATTGTGCTTTCTATCAGACCTGCCAACTCAAATATTTATGAAAAATGAACAATAAAAGCACTAATTCTCAATTTATATATGTCAGAGACAAAGAAAATGAGGTCTAAATGTCAACTGTTAAATATCAGCTGGATTGTCATTTTAAATATAGGTGAATATTTTTAATTCCCTTTTGCCTTCAGTTCTTTCTTTGGGGACACACACACACACACACACACACACACACACACACTGGTCCCAGTGAGAAAATATGCTATTTGTTGAATATATGAAACAATGAAGCCATTACCATTTTCCAGCATTTTCATGGGCAACCAGAAGAGAATGAAAGAATGGGCCAAAGCATTTATACACTGAAACCAAAACACCTAAAAAAAAAGCAAAGCAAGAAAGTTATGATAGAATGTTCATCTAAATCTAAAAATATGTGACATTATGAAATATACTTGCAGTTTGAAACACAATTATAAAACCAAAATGTTTTCCTGGACACGGAAAAAAATGCATTTCTTTTTCTTCTGAAAGAAATGACTGTGAAACTGTAGGATATTATTTGAAAAGAAAACTCATTAAATATAAATGTGTAGGGTTAAAATATAGAATATTTGTTATAAAAGTTATAAAAACCTGAAATATCCAATGAAAAAAACCAGAAGTAGTAATTTGGAAAAGAAATAAAAGTATTTTCAATCCTTACACTGTAGTATTTTAAATATAATTTCTTTTATATAACACAATCTGCACCTTGATAGCACCATCCAGATTCTGGTCAAAGTAAATTTTAATAAACCATACATAATTTTCTTACAGGAAATCTTAATAATGTAAAATCCCTAGGGTCAAACAAGAATACATTGGTTAGGAGACAGTAGAACAACAGCAATAAACAAATGTTTGTTCTTTCAGTTCTAAATGTATCAGTTATTTTTATGCTTGCCAGGAAGGCTTACAGATGAAGGACCAGAGAAGAAAAATATGTGGAAAAAACCTATCTGTCCTATGACCTAAATTTCCTGAAGTAAAACTGTTTTTAGGAAAGAATGTAAGAAACCGGTTTAAAAACACAGCTAATGCCAAATTGGAAAACCTCAAGATGCATGGAACATTGGGCAAAATACACAGAAGTTTCTTAGTACTGGAGAAAAATTATCCTTGGATTTAGCACAACTCCTGTCTTTCCTAATAAATAATAAAAAGCAGACCCAAAAGGATTAAATTGTTTCCAGTTAACGTGCTTGTATTCCAGAACAAAACTCAAGAATAGTCATGGTAATACAAAATAAAAAACTTTTGTGCACAGCAAAGGAAGCCATCAGGAAGACAAAAAGCCATCTTAACTAAATGGGAGAAGATATTTGCTAATGATTCATCCAGTAAGGAGTAAATTTCCAAAACATATTTTTTTTGAAAAGTTGTATAATACACACACAAAAAACAATCTGATCTAAAAATGGGAAGAGAACTTAGACATTTTTCCAAAGACAACTTACAAATGGCCAACTGACACATGAAAAGATGGTCAACATCACTAATCATCAGCAAAAGGCAAATCAAAACCACAATCAGCTATCACCTAACACCTGTCAAAATGGACAGAATCAAAAAGATAAGAAATAACAAGTGTTGGTGAAGAGGTGGAGAAAAAAGACCCCTCATGCACTGTTGGTGGGAATGAAAACTGGTGCAGCCACTGAAGAAAACAGTATGGAGGTTTCTCAAAAAATTAAACATAGTAATACCATATGATGTAGTAATTCCACTACTGGGTATTTACCCCCAAAGAAAACAAAAACACTAATTCAAACCTATATATGCCCCCACTATATTTACTGCAGCATTATTTGCAATAGGCAGGATATGGAAGCAACCTGTGTCCATCCATAAATGAAGGTATAAAGAAGATGTGGCATATATATACAATGGAATATTGCTCAGCCTTTAAAAAAAAAAGTATGAGATCCCACTATTTGCAACAATATGGATGGGCCTAGAGGCTATTATGATAAGTGAAATAAATCAGGCAGAGAATGACAAATACCGTATGATTTCACTTACATGTGTAATCTAAAAAATAAATGAACAAACCAAAAACATAAGAAATCAATACAGAGAACACACTTTAAGTTGCCATAGGGGTGAGGGAGTGTAGGGATGGGAAAAATGAGTGAAGGGGATTGAGGCTTCCACCTGTGGAATGAGTAAGTCATGGGGATAAAAGGTACAGCCTAGGGAACATAGTTAATGGTATTGTAATAGTATTGTATGGTGACTAATGGCAGCTACACTTGTGAGCATAGCATAATGTATAGACTTGTTGAATCACTATGTTTACACCTGAAACTAATGTAGCATTGTGTGTCAACTATACTTCAATCAATCAATCACAGTAAAGGAAAAAATATATTCATGGTTATACAAAAATATCCATCACCTAGGACAAATCCAATTCGTAATTATCAGGCATTCAAAAACAAAAAATAAAGCAAAAAAACTACTACCCAAAATGAGGAGGTAAATAAACCAATTAAATCCAATCCACAGCCAACACAGATGTTAAAATTTGCAGACAAGGATGTTTAACCAGTATAACCCTATTCTTTTTTTTTTTTTTGAAACAGTATTAACTCTATTCTTTATGTTTAAAAGCATAGTAGGGAAACAGAAGATATAAAAACCTTCCAAACAGAAATTTATTAGATTAAAAACTATAAATTTTGAGATTATAAATTTACTAGATGGCAGTAATGTAGATTCAACATTGCAGAAGAAAAAACTAATAGCATAGATATTGCAGAACTAAGTTGAAGACAAAATGATCACAAAATACCCCAAATTTAACAAAGAGGAGGGTGTATAAAACAAAAGCATAGGATCAAGTGATCTAACATATGTACAATTGGAAGCAACAGAAGGAGAGAAGATAGGCCAGAAAAAATACAATGGCTGAAAATTTTCCAAATTTGATATAAACCATAAACCAGGAAACTTTTCTTTATAAAGGACAAGATGGAAAGTATTTTATTCTTTGGAAGCCACATGATTTCCATTACAACTACTCAATTCTGCTGTTGTACCTTTAAGGTGATCACAGAGAATTTGTAAATGAATGGTCATGGCTCTTTCCCAATAAAATTTTATAAAAGTAGGAAAAGGACTAGATTTGTCCTATAGCCCATAGTTGGCTGGCCTTTTTTTTTTTTTTTTAAACATTTATTTATTGATGAGAGAGAGAGAAACAGAGCATGAGCAGGGGAGGAGCAGAGAGAGAGGCAGACACAGAATCCGAAGCAGGCTCAAGGCTCTCAGCTATCAGCACAGAGCCCAAAGCAGACCTCGAGCCCATGAACCACAAGATCATGACCTGAGCCAAAGTCGGATGCTCAACCAAATAAGCCACCCAGGCGCCCAACTGATCTTAATATAAACCTACAGATCCAAAACCTCAATGCACCCCATGCACAAGAATCATGAAGAAACAAGTCATCACAATCAAATTGCTCAAATCTGGTAATAAAGAAAAAAAAAATCTTCAAAGCAGCCAGATGAGAAAAGACGCACGAAAGGCTCATAAAGATGAGGATGACAGTAATTCCACATCAAAACAATGCAAGTAGTGGGGCGCCTGGGTGGCTCAGTCGGTTAAGCGTCCGATTTTCGCTTAGGTCATGATCTCGTGGTTCGTGGGTTCGAGCCCCGTGTCGGGCTCTGTGCTGACTGCCAGCTCAGAGCCTGGAGCCTGTTTCAGAGTCTGTATCTCCCTCTCTCTCTGACCCTCCCCTGCTCATGCTGTCTCTCTCTCTCTCCTAGAAATAAATAAAAATATTAAAAAAAAAAAACAATGCAAGTAAGACGATGGAAATTGCTGAAAGAAAGAAGCTATCAGGGCACCTGGGTGTCTCAGACCTGAGCATCCGACTTTGGCTCAGGTCATGATCTCACAGTCTGTGGGTTCGAGCCCCGCGTCGGGCTCTGTGCTGACAGCTCGGAGCCTGGAGCCTGTTTCAAATTCTGTCTCCCTCTCTGCACCTCCCTGACTTGCACTCTGTCTCTCAAAAATAAATAAACGTTTAAAAAAAAAAAATGAAAAGAAACTATCAGCCTAGAATTTTATGCCAACCAAAAATAACTTTCAAAGATGAAGGTGAAATGAAGACTTTTTGACATATATAAAAACTATAAGAGTTCATTGCCAGCAGATTTGCACTATAAGAAATGTTAAAGGAAGTCCTTCAGGCAGAAGGAAATTAGAACAAATAGTAATGTGAATCTACACAAAGGATAGATTACTGGAAGTAACAAAAATATGGGTAAAGATCTAAGTGTTTCTCTTACTATTTAAGTCACTGTTAAAAACATTTATTCAAACACAAATGTTATTATGGTGTGGGATTTTTAACATATGTAAAAGTAACGTGTATGACAACATTGGTCCAAAGGTCAGAAGAAGAGAAATGGAGGTATATATACTATTAAGGTTTTTACACTGTATGTGAATTAGTCTATCACTTGAAGCCATACTATGCTAATATAACAATTTATAGTATAAACCCTAAAGCAACTTCTTTAAAAAAAACTTACAACTAAGAAGCCAAAAAAGAGTGAAATAGGAATCACAAAAATTAATCCAAAAAAGTCAGAACAAGAGAAAAAAATTATAATTAGGAAAAAATCAAAAATATATGGGAAGATGGTTAAGTTTGAACCAAAACACATCAATAAACATATTAAATGTAAATGCTTTAAACACTCAGTATAAAGGCAGATGATCAGATTGGATAACAAAGCAAGACTCCAAAGTGCCTACTAGAAGACACAAATAGATTATAAATAAAGTGATAGAAAAGATATATCATAGAAACACTAAGGAAAGCTGGAGTTGTCACATTACTATCAGACAGAATATAGATCAAAGGAGAAAATAACAAAGGTAATTTCTTAATGAAAAAGAGATCAATCAAGACAATATAACAATCCTAAACATTTATACACCTAAAAACAGAACTTCAAACTACTTGAAGCAAACGTGATAGAACTTCAAAGGGATACAGATGAATCCACACTTTGGGTTGGAGACTTCAGTTCCTTTCCAACTGAGAAATTGGACATAAAATTAGTAAGAGGGGCGCCTGGGTGGCTTAGTCGGTTAAGCGTCCGACTTTCGCTTAGGTCATGATCTCGCGGTTCGTGGGTTCGAGCCCCGCGTCAGGCTCTGTGCTGACTGCCAGCTCAGAGCCTGGAGCCTGTTTCAGTCTGTGACTCCCTCTCTCTCTGACCCTCCCCTGCTCATGCTGTCTCTCTCTCTCTCTCCTAGAAATAAATAAAACATTAAAAAAATTTAGAAAAAAAAAGAAAATTAATAAGAATGTAGAAGTTTGAACGCTATGAAGGTAACCTCATTTAACATTCTGTTCAAGTAAAGATGAAATATTTATCAGATAGACCATATTCTGAGCCATGAAGCAAGACTCAATACATTTTAAAAGACCCATGTTTCTTCCAGGCATCTATATGTTTTTTAATTGAAGTATGATTAACATACATGGTTATATTAGTTTCAAGGGTACAATATAATGATTCAACAATTCTAAACACTACTCAGTGCTCACCATGATAAGTGTACTCTTGATTCCCTTTATCTATTTTACCCATCCTCCTACCCACGTCTCATCTGGAAACCACCAGTTCATTCTCTGTATTTAAGAGTCTACTTTTTGATTCTTTTTTTTTTCCTTTGTTCATTTGTTCCTTAGATTCCACGTATGAAATAAAATCATACGGGATTTATCTTTCTCCAATTGACTTATTTCACTTAGCATTATACCCTATAGGTCCATCCATGTTGTTGCAAATGGCAAGATTTCATTCTTTTTATGGCTGAGTAATATTCCATTGCATATATACACCACATCTTGGTTTTTTTTCTTTTATAGTTTATTGTCAAGTTGTCTTCCTTATAACACCCAGTGCTCATCCCAACAAGTGCCCTCCTCCATGCCCATCACCCATTTCCTCTCTCCCCCACCCCCATCAACCCTCAGTTTGTTCTCAGTATTTAAGAGTCTCTTATGGTTTGCCTCCCTCCCTCTCCTTAACTATTTTTCCCCTTCCCCTCCCCCATGGTCCTCTGTTAAGTTTCTCCTGTTTCACATATGAGTGAAAACATATGTATACCACATCTTCTTTACCCATTCATCTACTGATGGACACTTAGGTTGCTTCCATATCTTGGCTATTGCAGATAATGCTGCAATAAATACATGGGCACATAGGGATTAATATGCAAAATATATAAAGAACAAAGAAGGGTTTTTTTTAATACAAGTTCAGCTCAATACCAAAGAGACAAATAATGTGATTTACAAATGGGCAGATGGCCTGAATAGACCTTTTCCCAAAGAAGACATACAGATGGCCAAGTGACACACGAAAAGATGTTCAACATCACCAATCATCATGGAAATGCAAGTCAAAACCACAATGAGATATCAATTTATACCTGTCAAAATGGCTGAATGAAAAAACTCATGAAATAAGTGTTGGTGAGAATGTAGAGAAAAAGGAACGTTTGTGTACTGTATAAATGCAAATCGGCACATCCACTGTGGAAAACAATATGGCGGTTACTCAAAACCCTAAAAATATATTTACCATGTGATCTAATAATGGCACTTACGATGGTATTTACCCAAAGAAAACAAAAATACTAATTTGAAAAGATACTCGCAGGCGTCTATATATTTTGAAAGCTTCACTAATGATGGAGATGCAGTTGGCTTTACTCTAAACCTCAACTCTGTGATCCCAGGAAGAGATCATTCCAAAAGAACCACTTGTCTCACCTAAAAGTAGGCCTAAGACCCTCGTTTGTATTTTCCAGGACCGCCCCACTGCCCCACATGATGCCTGAGGCTGCTCAGGGCACAACTTGTGGGGCCCTATGGGCGCCTCCTTGGGCACCCCCCTTCTTTTTCTTAAGGTCTCCCTCTGCCACACACTGTTATTTAAATCTCAGTTCCCTGGATGAACTAAACTACAAGGTAAATGATTGCACAAGGCTGCATTCCTTGGTTTTTAACTTCTTTTTTAAGCATCAGAGGAGGAAAGGACCAAAGGTACCTTTGGAGCTGAGGTGAAAACTTGCATTACGGCCTCTGTTTACCTTTGTGTTGAAGATTTCCCCTGCCTGAGAAATCCTGTAGAGCTGTGGATACCTCAGCAGGCTCTTCTCACTGCAGCACTGCTCAAAGATCCCCAGAGTAAGAGGTGGTAATGAAGTGAAAATCTACACGGAAAACAAAGATTAAGAAGAACTTTCAGTCTGTAACTGAGTTAGTGATATTGTAACAGCATCCCTTTCCCGACTTTGATAATGTACTACTACTGTTGAGATATCATTATGGGGGTAGCTGGTTGAAGGATACACAGAACTATTTTTTCATCTTCTGGTAAGTCTTAAGCTATTTAAAAATAAAAATTATTTACAAAGAAGATATTAATGTGTCACATAGATTCAAACACGTTGCCACATCATGACTTAATTTTCTGTTCCGATCCTTTGACTCAGGAGGTTATAACTGTGTAAGTGTTGCTTTATGAGCATAAAATGAATACTTTTTCCTTCTGTTTAATGACCATAAAACAAATTGACTACCTAGATATTTTAATAATAGGCATAAGACAGATCCATACATCTACCAATATGACATATCCCTCTGTATCCTTCATAAGAACCAGTTATTTAAAACATTTTTAATGTTTATTTATTTTTTTAGAGAGAGAGAGACACAGCATGTGAGTGGGGGAGGGACAGAGAGAGAGACACACACACAGACTCCGAAGCAGCTCCAGGCTCTGAGCTGTCAGCACAGAGCCCGACGCGGGGCTTGAGCCCAAAAGGAGTGAACACATGACCTGAGCCGAAGTCGGACACCACCCACCAAGTCACCCGGGCGCCCCAAGAACCAGTTGTTTTATAACCTAGTTTTCTTGCCAGGACTGGCACATAGTAATTACTCACTAAATAGTGTTGTGAATGTTAGATTAAAAAAAATATATATATATACAAAAATTCTTTATCTTGATCATTACTATCAGAAAGAGATGTTTCCCATTTGTTTCTTAAAATATTTTATTAACAATCATGTCAACAACCATATTACATGAAAAATTCGTGATCCTTTAGAAAGTTCTGGACCTTGTCAAGGAGGCAATGCTGTAACAACAGATACAAAAATATGAGAAAAAATGGGGAAGTAAGGGACAAGTTTAAAAAGGAGAAGAGAGGAGAAAGGAAAGGAGAGAGAAAACGAGAGAGGAAAGCAGCAGGAAGATAGGCGTGCATGGACTGTGTCCACTGACAATGGAGAAGTGCTATCAAAGAGACTTCGTGGAAAAGGGACACTGAATTTACAGATTTCTGCTCCATTTTGTTTCTGTTCCTGTGGCAGCTTAACTGGGGATTCTTCACAAAGAGCAACAAACGTCAATGAGCAGGCATTGTTCACACCTTGGGGCTTCTTATGTTTGCCATTGTCTCATTGGCCAAATCAAGTCACATGACCAGACCCAGAGTCCACGTGGATGGGTACACCAAAGGTGTGGATACAGGACACAAACAGATTGGGGGACCTTTGCTATAACAGTCTAACACAGCATGTGATTTAATGTAGACTTTCTAGAGTTCTGCACAAAATGTTGACAGCAACTAAAGCATTACTACTTTTCCAGTTTTGTTTTTTTGTTTGTTTGTTTGTTTGTTTTTTGGCTTCTGCACCAGCTAGAACCTGCTTACAATGTTGAAGAGAAGTGGTAAGAACGTTCGTTCTTCTTCTTGATTTTTTTTGGTTTTGCCATTAGGTATGATGTTAGCTGTAGGTTTTTCAGAGAAGCACTTCTCCTAGTGCTTCTCAGAATGAGTGATAAATTCTCTCAGGTGTCTTTACTGCATTTATTGAGATGATTATATGGTTCTTCCTTTAAAAAAAATTTTTTTTTTAGAGAGAGCGAGCGAGCATGTGTGTGTGCAGGGGTGAGAGGCAGAGGGTGGGGGAGAGAGAGAGAATCTTAAGTACTCCCTGTGCTCAGCACAGAGGTTACTACCTGAGCAGAAAACAAAAGTCGGACATTCAACTGACTGAGCCACTCAGGTGCCTCTTCCTTTTAAATCTTATAAAAAGGTCTGTTACACTGAATTTTAAATAGTAAACCAAACTGCATTTCTGAGATAAATCCTAGTTTGTCAAAAAAAATTTTATATTGCTGGATTTGATGTGCTAGAATTTTTTGTATCTACAATCATGAGAGATATGAGACTGTAATATTCTATCCTGCAATACCTTTGTCTGGTTTGACCTCTGGGTAATGCTGTATCATAAATGAGTTGGGAAATTTCCTCCTCTCTCTTCTGGAAAAGTTTGTCTACATTTGTTAACATTTCTGAATATTTAATATATGGGAAGGTTTATGCCAAAGAATTTAAAAATTTTAATAGATATGGGACTATTAGGGTTATCTATAGAGTAGAATTTAGTGATTCATCACTTACATATAGCACCCAGTGCTCATCCCAACAAGTGCCCTCCTCAGTGCCCCTCACTCATTTAGCCCATCCCCCACCCATCTCCCCTCCAGCAACCCTCAGTTTGTTCTCTGTATTAAGAGTCCTTTATGGTTTGTCTCCCTCTGTTTCTAATCTTATTTTCCCTTCCCTTCCCCTACGTTCATCTGTTTTGTTTCTTATATTCCTCATATGAGTGAAATCATATGGTATTTATCTTTTCTATGGAGCATTCAGACCATTTACATTTAAAGTAATTATTGATAGGTATGTACCTATTGCCATTTTGCTCATTGTTTTCTGTTTTTGTAGCTCTTCTCTGTTCCTTTCTAGTTTTCTTGTTCTGTTTTCTTGTGATTGATGACTTTCTTTGGCATTATGTTTGGTTTTATTTCTCGATTTCGTGTGTATGTATGTATTATAGGTTTTTGGTTTGTGGTTACTATGAGGTTTGTATATAGGAATCTATATCAAATTGATGGTTACTTACTTTTGAACACATTGTAAAAGAACTTCATTTTTTTCTCGCCCTTCCATATTTGATGTATATGTTCTATTTTGCATCTTTTTGTGAATCCTCTTAACTTTTTAGACATAATTGGTTGTATTACTTTGTTTAACCTCAATACAAGATTTACAAGTGACTGTCCTACTACCTTTCCTGAATGTTTGCTTTTACCCATGAAACTTTTTCTTTCATAATTTTCTTCTAATATGGCCTTTTCTTTTCCTCTTGATTGTAAGTTTTTCCCCCTTCAGCATTTTGAGTTTCTCATGTCACTTCGTTTTACATGCAATTTCTCCTGAAAAAAACAGCTGATATAGACTTATGGAATTTCCTTTGTACAAACTAGTTGCTTTTCTCTTGTTGCTTTAAAACTCTATATCTTGGGCACCTGGTGTCTGTGTCAGTGTCTGACTTTGGCTCAGGTCATGATCTCGTGGTTCATGAGTTTGAGTCCCGTGTCCAGCTCTGTGCTGACAGCTCAGAGCCTGGAGCCTGCCTCAGGTTCTGTGTCTCCCTCACTGCCTCTCCCCTGCTCGCACTTTCTCTGTCTCTCTCTGTCTCTCTCTCTCTCTCTCTCAAAAGTAAACATTAATTTTTTTTTAATTCTATGTCCTTCGTCTTTGACATTTTAACTATTAGTATCATGTTCCAGACCTCCCTGGTTTCATTGAAACTCTCTCTGCCTCCTTAACCTAGATGTCTATTTCCTTTCCCAAGTTGGGATTTTTTGCCTCTTATTTCTTCCCATAAGAAGTTTTCTGCCCTTCTCTCTCTTCTCCTTATGGGACCCCTCTGATGTGAATGTTTTTTCACTTGATGATGTCTAAGAGATCCCTTAACCCATCCTCATATTTAGTAATTCTTTTGTCTTTTTGCTCTTTGGGATGATTTCCATTACCCTGTCTTCCAGGTCACGAGTCTGTTTTTTCTTCCTCTAATTTACCATGGATTCCCTCTGATGTATTTTATTTTTTTTTTATATTTTTATTTATTTATAGGAGAGAGAGACAGAGGCAGCGTGAGCAAGGGAGGGTCAGAGAGAGAGGGAGATACAGACTCTGAAATAGGCTCCAGCCTCTGAGCTGGCAGTCAGCACAGAGCCTGACGCGGGGCTCGAACCCACGAACCGCGAGATCATGACCTAAGCGAAAGTCGGATGCTTAACCGACTAAGCCACCCAGGCGCCCCTTTTTTTAAAATTTTAGTTATTGTATTATTTAACCCTGATTGGTTCTTTTTTATATTTTCTATCTCTTTGTTGAAGTTCTCACCAAGTTCAACCACTCATCTCTCCAATCTGGTGACCATGTATTTGACCATAACTTTGACTTTTTTTTTTTTTTACGTTTATTTATTCTGAAAGAGAGAGAATATGAGCGGGAAGGGGCAGGGAGAGAGAGAGAATTCCAAGCAGTTTTCACATGGTCAGTGCAGAGCCTAGTGTGGGGCTTGATCTCAAGAACCATCATATCATGACCTGGGCTGAAATCAAGAGTCAGATGCTTAACCAACTAAGCCATCCAGGCGCCTCTACTTTGAACTCTTTATTGGTTATCTCCCTTTCATTTAGTTCTTTCTCTGAAGCTTTTGTCTTATTTCACTTGGAGCATATTCCTCTGTCTCTGTATTTTACTTGACTTTCTGTGTTTTGTTTTTATGAATTAGGTGGAATAACTATTTCTCCTAGCCCTGGAGGAATGGTCTTGTGTATGACTGTCCCCTGTGTAGATTGTGTGTGTGTGTGTGTATGTGTGTGGTGACTTTGGCTGGCATGGGATGAGTCCCACATCACGCCACACTGGGCCTGTCCTGATACAGTAGATGGAGCCGAAGTGGGTTTGGGTTGGAGTGATCCTAGGGCACATGGCACAGAGGGTGTCCTGGCAGACAGCTGAACCTGAAGTGAGTCCCAGGCAGGGAGATCAGAGGCTTTCTGCATTGAGGGTAGCATGGCAAGACCGCGAAAGCTGAAGTGGGCACAGGCTGGGGGGCTCTCCACACAGAGGGAACCCTAGTGGCACAGCTGGAGGTGAAGCGAGTGCAATCTGGGATGTCTCAAAGCACCCAGTGGAAGGGGCGCCCTGGCGAGGTGGCTGGCACTGAGGTGGGGCGGGGCAGCAGGAGCGCAGGGCTCTGCAGAGCCTGCCCGGAGGGGGTGGGCCAGAGACTCCCAGGCCTGCTGCGTTTCATGGTGCTTGGTGCCTGTGTCACCTCGGCGGGATGAGTGGTGCTGGTGTAGACTCCTGTCCCGGGCGCCTGGAGGCGGCAGGCTGGCGAGGGCACCCCCACCCTGCTCAGTAAGGAGAGTTTACTGAAGGTTTACTCTGAAGGTCGGAGTCCATTTACTTAACTTGCCATTTAATTATATCACTATCTGCTACGTACTTTCTAATAAACTGTGTTTACTAGATTTTTACATAGTTAGCATTTTTTAGGATTTTTAGGCTATCTAGGATATGTAATCATTAGGATAATTACAGTGTAATTATAAATGTGGTTGATTCAAATCTACCATCATCTTTTTTCTTCTATTTGTTGCCTTTAGTCTTCCTCTTTACCTTATATCCTGACTTCTTTTGAAGTAATTGAGTATTAAGATTTTATTAATACTCTATTAATAATACTATTATTGGTTCATTAGCTACAACTTTCGGGGGGTTTAGTTGCTCTTTAAAAGTTACAGCATCCCTATGCAGTGTATCACAAAATTCAAATAATAGTACACTCCCACATCTTTCCTCCATTCTTTGTGCTGTATTTATCATACTTGTAATTCTAAATTAATGACAGTTCCCAGAATACATTATTAATTTTGTTTTAAACAGTTATCTGTCATCATGATTGAAAATGAGGGGAAGAGGGAAAGTGTCCTATAAATTCCCACATAACTAACATTTCTGTTCCTCTTTATTTCTTTGGGCAGATCCAGATTTCATCCTGACGTACTTGTACTTTTGTTTGAAGAGCTTTCTTCTACATTTCAACTATTACAGGTCTTCTGGTGATGAATTTTCTCTCTTTTTGCTTCATTTTCAAAAGATGTTTTTACTGGGTACAGAAAATTGGGTAAGTGAAGCTTTTTCTTTCTTTCAGAACTTTAAAGATATTCCATTGTCTTCTGGCCTGCATGGTTTTCAATGAGAAATCGGCTTTTTTTTTTTTTTAATTTTATTTTATTTTTATTTTTTTATTTTTTTATTTTTTTACAAATAGTTTATTGTCAAATTAGTTTCTACATAACACTCAGTGCTCATCCCCAAAGTGCCCTCCTTCATGCNCTAAGTTTTAGGCTTGTGATGCCATAGTCTGAAAATATTACTCGATATGCTATAGAAAGAATATATTCCACATTTGATTTGAGTAAGGTTATTTTATTTTATTTTTTTTTCTGTAATAGTGGCTTTTATAACACCTTCATTTAATTTAATTTAATTTTATTTTATTTTTTTTTTACAAATAGTTTATTGTCAAATTAGTTTCTACATAACACTCAGTGCTCATCCCCAAAGTGCCCTCCTTCATGCCCATCCCCCCCTCCCCCCCACATCCATCAGTCCTCAGTTTTTGTCAGCATTCGGGGAGAAGAAATCGGCTTTTATTCACACATTTGTTTTTCTGTACATATTATTTGCTTATCTGGTTGATTTAAAGATTATCCTCGTGACCACTGATTTTGAGCAGTTTGGTTATGAAGAATATTTGTGTGTTTTTCTTTAGGCTTCTTCTTGGAATTTGTTGAGATTCTTAGATTTGTGAGTGTATAGCTTTCTTCAAATTTGACATTTTCAATCATTGTTTCATCTTTCCTTTTTGAAACTGTAAATATATGAAAATTAGAATGCTTGATATTGTCCCAGGATGAAATGAGGCTCTGTTACCTTTTTTCTAATTTTTCATCTGTGCATCTGCATTGTTATGTCTCCATATTTACTGATCTAATTCTTGAATTTTCTAATTACTCTTCATCCCATACAGGAAAATGTTCATTTCCTATTTGTATTTTCATCATAAGGTTTTATGTGGCTCTATTCTAAATCTTCTGGTTTTTTTCCTCATTATGTTCATGTCTTCCTTTATACATCCATGCACATGTTCATAAGATTTAAAGTACTTGCTTTGAGTCCTTACTACTAATCCCATCATCTTTATGATTTCTATATCTTTTCTTATTGACTTATTTTTCACCTTATGGATTTTATTTTCCTATTTCTTTGCATGACTGATATCTTTTATTGGATGCACAACAGTGAATTTGTGTTGTTGAGTATTTAATTTTCTTCTTTAAGTATTGTCTGCCTATGTTCTGACCTGCAAATTAGTTTTATGCTTTTTAGGGTTGCTTTTAAGTTTTGTTATGATGGGTCCAGACTAGTGTTTATTATAGGTCTGACTTATCCTTAGCCCTGAATTAGCTCCAGGAGGTCAGCCTACTGCTTTATAGCGGTTCGTTCCCTACCTCGGGGTAGGGACTTTGCTCATGCATTCACAGGGGCCAGCTGCACATCTCCAGAGCCCCTCTTTCTGTCTGTCTCTCTCTCAGTATAGTTCCCTCTTTGACATTCTAGCTGCCTTGGCCCACTGAGCTCCAGCCTCTGTGTCTTTAAGTCATTAAGACACCTGGCCTTTCTTTTGGGTCCATCTTCCTGCACTGTGGCCTGGAATATGCCTTCTCTCAAGGGTCACGGCCACGAGCAGCCTGTTGTTTAATGTTTGAAAATCATTGTTTTATGTATTTTGCCTGATAGTGTAGGTTATTTCTGGCAGGAGGGTATTCCTATAGCTGTTAGTCATGCATGGGAAGAAGCAGAAATAATATATGACCTCCAGAAATAGTATGACAACTGATTTAAATTTAGCTATCAAATAAACAACCTCTTTTATTGCCAGTAACTATTTAAAATGTCCTAGGCCTCATCTTTTTTCCCATCTGTAAAATATATTCATAATGGGATAATATTGAGTAAGTCAGTGGATATTAATAAACCATTTTTGTCCTAAAACATCCATACTTTTAAGTTTTCCACTGTAGCCTCATTTACTGTTTATTTAAAAAAAAAAGGCAGTTTCTGTGCTTTCCTTCATTAAAGGAAAAAAATATGACTCCACTGATCAATACCTGTGGCCTCTGCATTCATATGTTTTTTTTTTATCATTTTAAAAATGTTTTTTTATTTTATCATTTTTTAAAATATATTTTTAATTTATTTTGACAGAGGGAGAGAGAGAATCCCAAGCAGGCTCTGTACTGTGGGCACAGAGCCCAACATGGGGCTTGATCTCATGAACCATGATATTGTGACCCGAGGCAAAATCAGGAGTCGGACACTTAACCAGCAGAGGCCACACAGGTGCCCCCATAGTGAATTTTCTAACATGGAGGAAAATTCAGAGACGAGAATTTTCTAACACCGCCATCCCTACCGCGGTATGTAATGAAACTTAACAAACAAAAAATGTTGAGTACTGTCATCTGTAACCAAGAGCCTGGTAGAGATAACTGTGTATGACCTCAGATTCACTGGTGTCGTGCACTAGCCAAATACATCCGGCAATGACATGGACACAACTGTAACTGTTCATAGCACCAGACATCTCTGTGTTGTTGAACGACGCTCCATGACTTCTGTCTGTGCTGTTTCAGACTTTAAGCTCCTGGAAAACAGAACTTTAGGGATTAAGGCACACAGCATCCAGATTATAATATGACTCTGATGATGCAGTTCAAAAGAAAAGTCATGATATGCTCACTGGGAGCCTAATTTTTATCCTAGGTTTCCCTAACCTCTAATCTTTAAAGTGGAATAAACAATAATACAAGAAAAATCTGCTATGATTGAAACCATGTGTGGAGAGCCTGGGCTTCTGCAGGTTGTGTCACAGCAACAAAGGGTCTAAAGATGTATTTGTGCTGCCTGCTATGTATACAGATGATTGACTTAGATACACTTCCCAGACATAAACAGTAAAGGAATGTCACCAAAGTTCTGCCTGCTCTCAGAGAGATGGAGAATGCTTACCACATTGTATAAGCTAATGCACCAACGTTCAAATATAATCTGCCCAGAAAATCCATTGACAAAGGCGAACCAAAGCTGAAAGAGAAGAAAGTCATGAAGTGTTATATCAACGCTGATCTAAGTGTTTCCAGTCACTGAAGTACTTCAAATACTATACTTTATCATTCTTTTTTCCATGTCATCAAATGGAACTTGGCCAAAATGTAAACAAAATCAAGCTTGAGTGTTTGAGCTTAACAGCAAGGCAGTTCATTTATTTTAGAATTTTTATTTCAGTCTTTATTTTTTTGGTAGAGAAAGAACAATTTCAATGAAATACTTAGATCTAATTGTCCAATAATGCACTGTTTCAGGAAAGAATGATCTTGAGTTGAAAAGGTTCAGAATGGTTTTGTCTGTGGTGTCAGTGCACTGTCACACCTGTAACTAATAACGTTTGTAAGTGGCCCAGCTAAAGGAAGGAAAACTCCTGATTCAAAAACTCTATGGCCCTCTAGGTCTACTGCAACATTATTTAAATGGCAAAAATGGGGAAGCAGCCCACCTGTTCATCAAGAGATGAATGGATAAAGAAGAGGTGGTATACATACAGGGAAATGTTACTCATCCATGGAATAGTGTGGGATCCCACGATTTGCAATAACATGGACGGTCTAGAATGTGTAATGCTGAGTGAAATAAGTCAGAGAAAGACAAATACTCGATGATTTCACCCCCGTGTGGCATTTAAGAAACAAAATCAACCGACCAACCAACCAAAACTCAGACCCTCAAATATAGAGAACAAACTGGGATTTGCCAGAGGGGAGGTGAGTGAGAGGATGGGTGAAATAGATGAAAAGGATGGGGATTAAGACTATACTTATTGTGATGAGCACTGAGTCATGTATGGAATTGTTGAATGACTATGTTGCATACCTGAAACTAATATAACAATATATATTAATTATACTTGATTAAAAATTTAAGGCAAAGGACTTGGAATACCTACAACAATTTTTAAAATATGGAGTGAAAAGATTCACTCTCCCTGATGGTAAGGCTTACAGTATTGCTACAGGATTCAAAGTAGTGCGGTTTTGGCAGAAGAACAGACACAAAAATCAAGGAATCAAATTAGAGAACCCAGGAATAGATCTACATAAACATGTCCAACTTATTTAAATTATGGTAAGAAATATAGCCAATCTTAAGTGCACAGTGCAGTACTGTTAAGTGTATTCACATTGCTGTGCAACGAATCTCCAGAACTTTTTCATCTTGCAGAATTGAAACTCTATATCCACTGAACAAGTCCCCATATCCCCATACCCTCAACCACTGGTAACCGCCACTCTACTTTGTCTCTATGAATTCGACTATTTTAGATACCTCATGTGAGTGGAATCATACACTATTTGGCTTTTTGTGTCTTAGCCAATGTCCTCAAGGTTCATCCATATTGTAGTATGTGTCAGAATTTACCTTCTTTCTCAGGCTGAATAATAATCCATTGTATTTATATATCACATTTGGGTTATCTATTCGTCTGTCAGACATTTGGGTTGCTTCTACTGCTTGGGTATTGTAAATAATGCTGCAGTGAACATAATGTGTGAACATCTCTTCAGGATTCTTGTTTTCAGTCTTTCAGATACATACTGAGAAGCAGAATGGCTGAGTCATATGGTAATTCTATTTTTAAGTTTTGAGGAATCATCATACTATTTTCCACAGTGGTTGCGCCAATTTTTATTCCCACCTGCAGCTCACAGGAGTTCACTTTCTCCACACCCTCACCAACATTTGTTATTCTCTGGGGGGCTTGTTTTTTAATAGTAGCCATCCCAATGGATGTGAGTAGTATCTGATTGTGGTCTGGATTTACATTTCTCCTGTGATTTTTGGTGTTGAACATTTTTTCATATGCTTTTTGGCCATTTATACACTATCTCGACAGAAATGTCTATTCAAGTTCTTTACCCAATTTTATATCAGATTGTTTGATTTTTTTGTTGTTGAGTTACAGGAGCTGTTTCATTATTCTAGATACCAGCTTATGAGATATATAATTTGCAATTATTTTCTCATATTCTGTAGGTATTTTTACTGTGTTGATTGTCACAACACAGAGGTCTTAACATTTGATGTAGAACCACTTGTCTGTATTTGCTTTTGTTGCAAATGCTTTCATGCCATGCCCAAGAAAATTACTGTCAAACACAATGTCATGAAGATTTTCCTTTTTCTTTTTTCCTTATAAGAGGTTTATAGTTTTAGATCCTTAATCAATTTTCAGTTAGCATTTGTAAATGGTGTAAGTTCCCACCAACATTTGCTGAAGGGGAAATCCTTTCTCCATTATGTAATCCTGGTGTTTTCAAAGATCATTTGACCATATACATTAGGATTTATTTCTGGGTTCTTTATTTTATTCCATTGGTCTATATGTCGGTCTTTATGCCAGTGAAACACATTTTAAATACTGTAATTTTGTATATGTTCTGAAATTAGGGAGTATGAGACTTCTTAGTTCTTTTTCAAGACTGTTTTGACTACTCAAGCTGCTTTAAGACTCCATATGAATTTTAGGATGAATTTTCCTATTTCTCCAAAACATATTTGGGATTTTTATAGGGATTGCATAGAAATTAGCAGATCAATATTGTCATCTTAACAATATAAACTTTTACAATCCATAACCGTGTGATATCTTTCCATTTATTTGTATCTTCTTCAATTCATTTCAGCAATATTTTGTAGTTTTTGGTGTACAAGTGTTTTTCCACCTTGGGTAAGTTTATTCCTAAGTATTCCTCTGTATTCTTTCTGATGCTATTATAAATGGATTTTTTTCTTAATTTCTTTTTTTGATAGTCGGTTATTAGTGTACATAAATACAACAGATTTTTGTATGTTGATTTTATATCCTGTTACATTATTGAATTTATTAGTTCTGATCATTATTTTGTGACATCTTTAGGATTTTCCACATATAAGATCTCGTCCTCTGCAAACAGAGACAATTTTACTTATTCCTTTCTGATTTGAATGCTTTATTTCTTTTTCTTGCCCAGGTGCTCTTACGGAGACTTCCAGTACTATGCTGAACGGAAGTGGTGAGAGCAGGCTCATTGCCTTGTTCCTGATCTTAGAGGAACATCTTCCACCACTGATCATGATACTAGCTATGGGATTTTCATATATGGCCTTTCTTATGTTGAGGTAAGTTTTCTTCTTTTTAGTGTGTTGAGTGCTTTTATCATGTAAGACTGTTGAATTTCATCAAATGCTTTTTCTACATCAATTGAGATGATCATGTGGTTTTTTTTCCCTCTGTTGACTGATTTTCATATACTGAACCACCTTTGCATTCCAGGGTACGGTGTATATTCCCTTTACTGTGCTGTTGAATTCAAGTTGCTAGTATTTTGCCAAGGGTTTTTGTACCTATATAAATCAGGGATGTAGGTGAGTAGCTTTCTCATACTGTTTTCTCGTGTCTTGTAATGTAGTTTTGGTTTTACAGTAATGCTGGACTGATAAAATGAGTTTGTGTTACTCTAATTTTTTTTTTGTAAGAGTATTAGAAAGATAGTAATTCTTCTTTGAGTGATTGGTATAATTTGCCAGGGAGGTACTTGATTACTGATCTAATCTCCTTACTAGTTATAGTCTGTTGATATTTCCTATTTATTTATTACTTGCCCATCTGAGTTTTGACAAAGGTGGAAAATCAGTTTAATGGAAGGATAGCCATTTCATCAAATGGCACTGAAGTAATTGAATTCCATGGGCAAAAGAAATAGACAATCTAAGTCCTCCATTGTACGCAAAAATTCACTGCAAATGGATCATGACATTAAGTGTAAAACACAAGACTTTTAGGAAACTACACAGAGGAATATCTTGGGAATCTAGAGCCAGGCAAAGAGTTTTTTTGACATAGAACCAAAACATGATCCATAAAAGGAGAATTTGTAAATTGGACCACTTCAAAATTAAAACCTTTATACTCTGACTCTATTAAGATGACAAAACAACATGATACAGACTGGAAGAAAATATATGCAAACTGCATATCTGCCAAAGGACTAATGTCTAAAATATGTGAAGGACTCTCAAAAATTAACAGTAAAAAAAATTTTAGTTAGAAGATGGGCAGACACATTTCAAATTAAGAAGATATATAGACACCGAAGAAGTACATGAGAAGATTTTCAACATCATTTGCACTTGCAGAAATGCAATTTAAAACCACAATGAGGGGGGTGCCTGGGTGGCTCAGTTGGTTGAAGCTCAGGTCATGATCCCAGGGTCATGGGATCAAGTCCCAGAGTTGAGCCTGCTTAAGATTCTTTCTCTCTGCCCCCCTCCCCCACTCTCTTTCTGTATAAAATAAAATAAAACCACAATGAGATATCACTACCCATCTATCATAATGCCTAAAATACTAAATAGCGATAATATCAAATGCTGGTAAAAATCCCGAGAAACAACATAACAGATACTTTGCTGCTAGGAATTGAAAATGGTAAAGTCATTCTGGAAAGTAGTGGGGAGTTTCTTTTAAAACTAAATATGCAACTACCATGTGATCCAGCAATTGTACTCTTGGACATTTGTCCTAAATAAGTGAAAACTTGTGTTCGCACAAAATCTTTATACAAATGCCCTTCAACAAGTGGATGATAAATGTTATGGTACGGGAACAAATGATCCAAGCTGAGGGAACAGCTTGGATCAAGCTGAAGGGAATTATACTGACTAGAATAAATCCAATCTCAAAAGGTTATACACTACACAACTCTACTTTTATAGCATTCTTTTTAAGTTTATATCTTTTGAGAGAGAAAGCATGAGCAGGGGTGGGGTGGGGAGAGAGAATCTCAAGCAGGCTCTACACTGTCAGTGCAGAGTCCAACATGGGGCTTGATCTCACAAACAGATCCTGAGCTGAAGTCAGGATCTTCTCTGATGCTTAACCAACTGAGCTAGGCACCCCTACTTTTATAGCATTCTTGAAAGTACACAGTTATAAGGACAGGAACAGATTAGTCACTGTCAGAGGTTAGGGATGGATGTGGATATAAAGGGGTAGCATGAGTGGGATCCTTGTGATGGAACAGGTCTGTATCATTGGGGGTGAGATGGGGGTGGTCTGTCTCGATGAGTATGAATAAGCTCTGTCAGTTATATCCTGGTTTTGATACTGTCCAGGACTTATTCAAGGTGTTTTCTTTGGGGAAAATTGGGTGAATGTTTCATGGGAACTCCTGAAAAAATATTGTCTGCAACTTCCTGTGAATCTATAATCATTTCAAAATAAAGTATTTAAAAATATTTTTCCACAGCCAAATGTAAGACTTATACAGATATTTTTTTTAAGTCAGGATGTTGGTTAGAAGATTCAAATTTACCAAATAACTTTGAGCAAAAACCTAAAGCAGAATTATGTAATGGTAATTTAAGTGATACAGACATGGGAGAGGGGGGGGAACTACCAGACATGATGTCAAAGAAAGACCTAAAGCATATCTCTTTTCTTACCTCAATAATGTATAACACGACATTTTTGTAGAAACAGTACAATATGCATTTTGTCACTCGAAAATAATTCCAAGCTCCATGAACCAACAGAAGCTTCTCCAAGTAGCTAAACTAAAAGAAGGAAACAACAGTCAGGGCAAGTTCAAATGAAACAGCAAAGCAAAAGATAGTTTTTTGACCCACCTTTGTAGAATGCATATGAAAGACTGGAGACAGATGGGGCAGAAATAGGAACATGTTCACTAGGGATAACATTCATTCTTGGAAAAGTATAAAATAGCACACACCATGGCATAATACCTTCTCCTTCTCTACAGCCAAAGTTGCTCTTGGGTCAAAGCAATATGGAGGAAAACAAAAACAAATGTGGCTTAAAGTATTATCACTGATGTGAAACAGCCTGTTAATGGGGGCCTGAGCATGAATCAATTCTATCTCCAGCATTAGTGACTGGCTTGGTGTGGCACCTTAGGAGTGTGTGGAAAGAAGAAAAGAAAGCTTTAGGGGTCTGGTGGTTCTAGATGGTAACACAGGAAGAGAACCTCAGGAACCCTATCACATGCCAGCCACAGGTCCAGACAGGCCCCAGAGACTACACAAAGGACAACCACCCACAAGACTCCTCCTTTAAGTTTAGGAGAAGCAGCTGTGCTGCCTAATTCATAAAAACAAACACAGAAAGTCACATAAAATGAGAAGACAGAGGAGCATTCTTCAAATGAAAGAACAAGACAAAACTTCAAACAAAACAAACAAACAAACAAAAAAGAACTAAATGAAACAGAGATAACCAATCTACCTGATAAAGAGGTCAAAGCAACGCTCATAAAGATGCTCACCAGATTGAGAGAAGAGTGGATGAACTGAGCAAGAACTTCATCAAAGAAATAGAAAACATAAGAAAGAACCAATCAGAGTTGAAGAATACAATAACTGAAATAAAAAATAAACTAGGGGGAACAATAGTATATTAGATTAGTGATCTGAAAGACAGGGTAATAGAAAGCACCCAAGCTGAACAACAAAAAGAAAAAAGAATTTTAAAATGAGGATGGGTTAAGGGATCTTTTGGACAATATCAAGCAAAACATCCACACTATAGAGTTATAGAGGTCTCAGGAGAAGAGAGTAAGGGGCAGATAAGTTTATCTGAAGAAATAACAACTAAAAGTTTCCCTAACCTAGGAAAGGAAATAGACATCCAGATTCAGGAAGCACAGAGCTCTCCAGTAAGATGAATCCAAGGATAGCCACACCACAGCACATAATTAAAATGTAAAAGATTAAAGATAAAGAGAGACTTTTATTTTTTAATTTAAATTTTAGTTAACATACACTGCATTATTACTTTCAGGAGTAGAATTCAGTGATTTATCACTTGCATACCACACCCAGTGCTCATCACAAGTGCCCTCCTTAATAACTATTGCCCATCTAGCCCATCTCCTACACTCCTCCCTCCATCAATCCTCAGTTTGTTCTCTATAGTTAAGAGGGTCTTGTGGTTTGTTTCCTTCTCTTTGATAAAGAGACTCTATTTTTTTAATAGTTTATTGTCAAGATGGTTTCCATATAACACCTGGTGCTCATCCCCACAAGTGCCCTCCTCCATGCCTATCACCCCCACTCCCCCCCCAACCCCTCAGTCCTCAGTTTGTTCTCAGCACTCAAGAAGACAGATACCATATGTGTGCACATATACGTGGATTAGGAGGAAGCTAACGGAGGACTGTGAGGGAGTAGAAGGGGGAAAATAGTGGGAGAGAGGGAGGGAGGCAAACCATAAGAGACTCTTCAATGCTGAGAAACAGAGACTTTAAAGAGGAGCAAGAAGATGACATGGTACTCTACATGGAAAACTCAAAGGACTCCACCAAAAACCTGTTACAACTGATACATGAATTAGCAAGGTCGCAGGATATAAAATCAATGTACAGAAATTGATTGCATTTCTATATACCAATAAATGAAGCAACAGAAAAAGATATCAAGGAATCGATCCCATTTACAATTGCACCAAGAACCATAAAATACTTAGGCATAAACCTAACCAGAGGTAAAAGATCTGTACCCTGAAAACTAGAGAAGGCTTATGAAGGAAATTGAAGAAGACAAAGAAATGGAAAAACATTCCATGCTCATGAACTGGAAGAATAAATATTGTTAAAATGTCGATACTACACAAAGCAATCTACACATTCAGTGCAATCCCAATCAAAATTGCACCGGCATTCTTCTCAGAGCTAGAACAAACAATCCTAAAATTTGTATGGAACCACAAAAGACCGAAATAGCCAAAGTAATTTTGAAGAAGAAAACTAAAGCGGGAGGCATCACAATCCCAGACATTAGCCTCTATTACAAAGCTGTATTCATCAAGACAGCATGGTATTGGCACAAAAACAGACACATGGACCAAAGGAATAGAATAGAGAACCCAGAACTGGACCTCCAAACGTATGGCCAACTAATCTTTGACAAAGTAGGAAGGAGTATCCAATGGAAAAAAAATCAGTCTCTTTAGCAAATGGTGCTGGGAGAAGTGGACAGCAACATGCAGAAGAATGAAACTAGACCAGTTTCTTACACCATATACAAAAATAAAGTGGTGAAAGACCTAAATGTGAGATAGGAAACCATTAAAAGCCTAGAAGAAAAAACAGGCAACACCCTCTTTGATCTCAGCCACAGCAACTTCTTACTTGACACATCTCCAAAGGCAAGAGAAATAAAAGCAAAAATGAATGATTGGGACCTCATCAAGATAAGATGCTTCTGCAGAGCAAAGGAAACAATCAACAAAACTAAAAGGCAACCAATGGAATGGGAGAGGATATTTGCAAATTACATATCAGATAAAATCTGATAGGTTAGTACCAAAATCTATAAGTAACTTACCACACTCAACACCCAAAAAACAAATAATCCAGTGAAGAAATGGGCAGAAGAATAGACACTTTTCCCAAGAAGACATCCAAATGGCTAACAGATACACGAAAAGATGCTAAACGTTGCTCATCAGAAGGGAAATACAAATCCCTTGGGTAAATTCCTAGCAGTGCTATTGCTGGGTCATAGGGGAGTTCTATTGTTAGTTTCGTAAGGAACCTCCACACTGTTTTCCAGAGGGGCTGTACCAGTTTACATTCCCACGAACAGTGTAGGAGGGTGCCCGTTTCTCCACATCCTCGCCAGCATCTAGAGTTCTCTGATTTGCTCATTTTAGCCACTCTGACTGGCGTGAGGTGGTATCTCAGTGTGGTTTTGATTTGTATTTCCCTGATGAGGAGGGATGCTGAGCATCGTTTCACGTGTCTGTTGGCCATCTGGATGTCCTCTTTGGAGAAGTGTCTGTTCGTATCTTCTGGATACAGAAATGGTGATGCATAGGAGCACATGTACCCCAATGTTCATAGCAGCACTCTCCACGATAGCTAAAACATGGAAAGACTAAGTGTCCATCAACAGACGAATGGATCAAGAAGATGTGGTTTATCTATACCATGGAATACTACATGGCAATGAGAAACAATGAAATCTGGCCATGTGTAGCAACATGCATGGACCTTGAGGGTGTTATGCTGAGCGAAATAAGTCAGGCAGAGAAGGACAAATATCATATGTTTGCACGTATAGGAGGATTAGGAGGAACTTGACGGAGGAACAAGGGGGAGAAGAAGGGGGGAAATGGTGGGGGAAAGGGAGAGAGGCAAACCATGAGAGACTCTTGAATGCTGACAAAAACTGAGGACTGACGGGTGTGGGGGGGAGGGGGGATGGGCAAGGAGGAGGGCACTTGTGGGGATGAGCACTGGGTGTTATGTGGAAACTAATTTGACAATAAACTATTTGTAAAAAAAAAAAAAAAAGATGGGAAATACAAATCAAAACTACACTGAGAAACCACCTCACACCTGTCAGAGTGGCTAAAGTTAACCTAGGAAACAACAGATGTTAGTGAGGACATGGAGAAAAGGGAACCCTCTTGCATTGTTGGTGGGAATGCAAACTGGTACAGCTGCTCTGGAAAACAGTGTGGAGGTTCCTCAAAAAAATTAAAGATTGAATTACCCTACAATCCAGCAATAGCACTAATAGAAACTTATCCAAAGGACACAGGAGTGCTGATGCATAGGGCCACATGTACCCCAATGTTCACAGCAGCGCTTTCAACAATAGCCAAATCATGGAAAGAACCTAAGTGTCCATCAACTGATGAATGGATCAAGAAGATGTGGTTTATATGTACAATGGAATACTACATGGCAATGAGAAAGAATGAAATCATGCCATGTGTAGCAACGTGGATGGAACTGAAGGGTATCATGCTAAGTGAAATAAGTCAGTCGGAGAAAGACAGATATTGTATGTTTTCACTCATATGTGGAAGTTGAGAAACTTAACAGAAGACCATGGGGGAAGGGAAAGAATATATATATATTCTTTACAAACAGAGAGGGAGGCAAACCATAAGAGAAATTTAAATACAGAGAACAAACTGAGGGTAGAAGTTGAGGGAGGGAAAATGGGTGATGCGCATGGAGGAGGGCACTTGTTGGGACGAGCACTGGATGTTTATCTAAGTGAAGAACCATGAAAATCTACTCCTAAAGCCAAGAGCACATTGTATATGCTGTATATTAGCTAACTTGACATACGTATATAATAAATACATATATAATATATAAGTTACATACATATATAATAAAGCAAATTTCTAAAAAAACAGTAAGAGAGAAACAACTAGTAAATACAAAGGAAACCCCATTATTCTATCAGCTTATTTTTCAAGAGACGTGTTGCCAGCCAGATGGGAGTGCCATGATATATTCTAAGAGCTGAAAGGAAAAAACACACAACCAAGAATACTCCATCCAGCAAAGTTATCATTCAGAATTCAATAAGACATGAAGAATTTCCCAAACAAAAATTAAAGCATCTCCTCACCACTAAACTGGCCTTATAAAGAATGCTAAAAAGACTTCTTTAAGTGGAAAACAAAAGGCCATAATTAGAATTAAAAAGAAAGAAAGAAAGAAAGAAATGTTCTAAGTAAAAGCAAACATACAGTAAAGGTCATAGAGCAATCACTAGTAAACTAGTATGAAAGT